AGTTCACAATGGCAGCTTCATCGTCACTGCAAGACCAATCAAGATCGATATCATCATCCTTGTAATTCTCTGGGCCGAACGTGTCGTGATCGTGTGGTCTGTCTCTGGAATCGCAAGTGTGGTTGCCATTCTCATCGCCAGCTGCGTCTTCGAAGTCGGAGAAGGCAGGGGACTGCGAATCGTAGACAAAGGTTGCATCGTCAGAAGCGGCGCCGGCAGGGGACTGCGAATCGCAGATAAAGTCCGTATCGTCGAACTCGGCGTGGGGAGGGGACTGCGTATCGCAGACGGAGGCGGCATCATCGGGGTCGGAGCGGGCGGGGGACTGGGACTCGATGTTGTTCCATGCGCCGTCGAGCTCGGCGTGGGAAGGGGACTGGGGATTGTCGAAAGAGGCGGCATCGTCCAAGTTGGCGTGGAAAGGGAGCTGCGAGTCGTTGATAGGGGGGTGACCGTCGAGCCCGGCTTGGAGAGGGAACTGGCATGCGGAGCCGTCCGCAGCATCGTCGAATTCGGAGCCGGCAGGGGCTTGGGACTCCATATCAGCGAATACGCTGCCGAGCTCCGGCGTGAAGCAGCGTATCGGAATTGAGGACGGAGGCAGCATCATGGGAGGCGGAGCGGGCGGCGCCTTGGGACCCGGAGTTGGCGAACCCGCCGTCTGGCTGATTAGCGGCGTTGAAACCCTAAGGCGGCCTGAGGTGGGTAGAAGCCGGGAGTCGGAATCGGGGGTCGGGGCAGCATCATGGGAGGCGGAGCGGGCCGCGCCTCGGGAATGGGAGTTGGCGAATGCGTTTTCGGCTCCGGCGTGGAAGGAGTACTGGGAATCGTTGGAGGAGGCAGCATCATCCAACTTGCAGTGGGCGAGGGCCTGCGAACTGCTAGCAGAGGCGGCATCGTTGAAGTTGGCGTGGAAAGGGAGCTGCGAGTCGTTGATAGGGGGGTGACCGTCGAGCCCAGCTTGGAGAGGGAACTGGCATGCGGAGCCGTCCGCAGCATCGTCGAATCCGGAGCTGACGGGGGCTTGGGACACGATGTCAGTGAATGCGCCTTCGGCTCCGGTGTGGAGCGGCGTATCGGAATCGGGGACGGAGGCGGCATCATCGGGGTCGGAGCGGGCGGCGCCTTGGGACTCGGAGTTGGCGAATGCGCCGTCTGGCTGGACAGCGGCGTTGAAGCCCTGGGCCGGCCTGAGGTTGGTGGAAGCCGGGAGACCAGCAGGGGCGGCGTCATAAGACCGTTCGCTAGGTAGCGCCCCAAAGCAAAAAGCCGTCGAGTTGTCGCTGATATGAGGCGCTGCGCTGAGTTCATCGTGAGGCAAGTCCATAGCGATCGACCGAGAAGGGGCTTCAGCTTCAGCCGAGGTGAGGGCTGTATATGAGGAAGGTGACAGGGAAGTCGGAGTTGCCACGGCTAACGATTGAGTCGGGGGAGGCGGGTACGCTTGATTCTGTGCCACAAGCTGGTCTGCTAGAAGGCGGTTGGTAGGCCGTGGCGCCGCGAAGTTGGAGCTGGTGTCTTGGATCATGGTCTCGGTATTAATTGTTGAACGGATGATATCAGAGGGTTTTGTGAAAGAGATGTTGTGGCTGAAGTAGCTGGGAGCGTTCAAAATCTGGGAATCAAAATTTGCGTTAGAGATTGCAAGCCAAGGTGAGGGAACCCACGAGGGGCAGGAGCGAAAGAAAAGCAGTGATCCTGCCGCAAACGAAGCAATAGAGATAAAGGATTCCAGAAAATATAAAATATTAGAAACTTTGTTTTTTTTAAAACAAAAACAAAACAAAACAAAAAAAACACGCAAAGCAAGATAAACAAGGAAGGGGCAAGAATACTTACTGCTAGTGGCTTCCGCAAAAGGCGCCACGGGTATCAGCTAGTAGCGGAGCTGCTACGAGGATAGATAGTGTAGGAGGGAAGAGGGGAAGGTAGGGGGCGGAAGGAAGAGGGGAAGAGAGGGAGAGGTAGCATAGGCGGACGTGGAAATGAGGTGAGACTGGAAGGAGTTCGGGCTATGCGCCAGGTAGGCGCAGGTCTATCTTACTCCTGTAGTTGTTAAGAGGAAGAACGTAGGCAAGGAGAGAAGGAGAAAACAGTTCGTCTGTAGCGCGAATGAGAGAAGGCGGCGAAGTAGCGGGGGCGCGGTAGGTGAGGAGGGAGAGTTAACGACGCAACAGCTGTGGCCGACGAGGCCTTTGGTCTAGACTCCAGTCTAGAGGGATAGAGAGGCGTGTAAACCTGGAAGGTGACAACAGACGTCGCCTTCCACAGTTCGCTGTGATGAGCATTGCTCTTTTCTTTTGGCGTTTTTAAGGGTTAGAGGCTTTGAGATGTGTGTCCTGGGCATGGTTACTGACGCCTGTATCACAGGCATTGTAGTTATTCATACCTACTCTACTCACGGGGGATCTGTTACTGCAAAGAGCTGTATTATATTGCTACAAGTAGGTATGGTATGGAGCTACTCGGAAAGACCTCTGCGCTACTCCTCCAGGCGTTCGCGATACCACTTATATCTTCCTCTATGCGTCTCAAACGACGCCATCTGTGGGAAGATCTGGCGGCATAGCTCAAGCCGTCGCTCGGGTTCTGTGCGGATATTCTCTCGAAAGAATGGGGGGGCTACCCATGGCAGATCAAGCAAGTCACACAGACTGCTGTCCTCATGATCGATGAGAAGCCTGAGGCTTCGAAGGCTGTTCTGTGTGGGTAGCGGCGCGGGCGGCTGGTGCGTGGGACTGTGCGGCAAGTCACAATCCAGATCAAGATCGAGGTCGACAAGCTTCTTAAGATATGAGGCAATGCCTGTGAGCAGAAACCTTCTGCCCCGCCGTTGGGTCTCTCTATAGATAAAGCGATCCAGGCAGAGACGGAGAGTCTTGAGCTTGGATAGCTCCTGTAAGACGTGCAGTAGGTCGTCCTGGGATAGGGGCAGGGATGTGTCTGCTAGACCCGAGTAGGCCGACATCTCCACATCAAGCTTCTCGAGTTCCTTGAGCCCCCCAATAGCCTTGAAGCTCGACGGCTTGATGTTCACCTCGACTCTGCCGCCCCAAAGGATGGACAGTTCGGTGAGTGAGGTGAGGCGACTGATGGTGGAAAACGACCGCTGAGAGTAGACTGTGATGGCGAGACGGCGTAGTGAACTGGAGCAAGCGGGTGCTTGCCCGATAGTGGCGAGGGAGTGGATGGTAGAAAGCCCCGAGATGGGCCCGAGCAGGGACGAGATCATTCGGCTGTAGGGGGACGGCAAGGCCCGGCCCCAACATTGGCCAGGCCGGATGTTGATGGACTGCAATAGCGGGAGCTTAGGTTGGCTGATATGCCTGGCTAGCATCCGGTCGTTCCATTCCGCTATGTCCTTTGGCTCACATGGGCTGCGGGGCCTGGCGTCGAATGGGTCTGGGGTGATGTCGAGCAGGCGGCTGGAGGGGCGGGACACCACTAGTTCGATGTGACGGAGGTGCCGAAACCTGTGGGCGGCGTAGCTGAAGCTGAGGGCGATGTACATGGCAGGGGTCGTGATCGAGATATGCTCGAGGGCAATGGATGATGTACGCCGGGCAATACGTTCAACGAGTGCCAGGTGTGAACTTGACGTAAGGTCGATGCCGATGATGGCGCGGACTGCCGGGAAGAGGGGATCGTCCGCGCCCCAGTGTGCGAGAAAGCGATCGAGCTGACCCTCTTCGACCTCATGCGCAGAGGGGCGCGGGCTGGCGCCTGGACGGGTGGTGGCGGCGGGGACCTCCCCCCCACCCGGGGAAGCTTCGTCATCGCTGCTAAGGTCCGTCTCGCTCTCGTCACTGGTGAGGTCCGACTCGCTCTCATCGCCGTTGTTGATCTGTCTCTCGTTGCTGCTGCGGCCGTCGGGGGCGATGGTGAGAGATCGTATGAGGTCGGCGTACGTCTTGCGGTATGCCTGACCGCAGTTGAGTACATGCCGAAGGTGGACATCCTTCCACAGGAAGGGGTTGGCCAGGGCGAATAACTGGCGGCTAGTGTTGGATAATGAGCGGAGGGACTTGCCGCGGCGATGGTACTCATCGCTGGTGTCGAGATAACTGATAATCTCCACTATGATCTCGGGTGGCATGCGGGTGAGGGGTGAGGAGAACGCCATTGTAGAGCTGCGGTGGTTGGTTAGTGGGATTCCTGGTGTGTGATATACGTTGAAAACGATGGGAAAAGGGGATGACGGAAGGGGGTGATCACATCCTGAGGTGATATTGGATGTGATGGAGATGGCGCGTTGGGACCTTACCTAGGTAGCTAGTAAGGGCGTAAGTTATTACTAAGGCCGTACGGAAGGTGTGCAGCGGCTAGGCCTTGTGTGATGGACGGAAGGAAGTTGATGGGTCCGTTGCAGCTTCTGTGAGTAAAAGCTCATTGGTGAAGGTATGCGGACCTATATGGTGGTGGTGAGAGGAACGTGGATGTGGAAGAGGAAGGAGTGGAGGGAGGAGGGGGTGCCAGGAGGGAGGAAGGACCGATACCCTTAAGAATTCGCTTGGTATGTAGTTGCTGATGAGAAGGATCAGTAAGTAGATTATCTGAGCACGTTAGGTTGTTGTATTATATATGATAGCAAAAAAAGATACCGGGGCCGCGAGATAATCTGGTGAGGATGCAGACGAGGAAGGAAGGTGCCTAGGAAAAATCCTAACGGGGGAAGGCACCATCCGCAGCACCTTGTCACATTGGAGTCTAGAGAGGCTGAGGAAGAAGATGAAAAGGCAAGAGTTGTCGCGTCCTGAGGCTTCCCATCTCTCTCTCCTTCTCTCTTCAGCCCATATCCCTTCACGTCTTTCTTTTCTTTCTCTCTTTTTTTCTCTTCTTTTTCCTTTAAACCTCTCTCTTTCCTCCTCTCGTACCCACACACACATCAAGCCGTTCAGCAGCCTGGCAATCTCAGTGGTGTGGCCATCCCTCTACTACCTAGTACCCACGTTGCTCAGGCCCATACGTCCTTGTCAGCTGCCCCTCAGCCTACCGAAGAAATGACACTTTCTCGGAACGCCACTCTACGCTTCGACGTCAAGCTGCATGTGTTGGATGCAACCAAACTCGATCGCTTCTCCCGCAACCTTCCAGCGTCTACCGGGAGACGATTCTTCGGCGATGAGTCGCTAAAGGAAGCTATACAGGAGGCTACGGAAGAGATTGAGAAGGCGTCTGACGACCGTGTGCGGGAGCTTGATGCCTATCAGGCCACAGGACCGGACCCTAGTAGTGAGGGACCTGACTGGATAGTCGGCCCCCTCTTAGTGGTTGCAGAAGCATCAACAATCAGATTGCTATACGACGCAAGCTATGGACTCGCCGATATACTACAGCTCAAAGACAAGACGATGGAACAACATGTCCGGACCGTCATAGTGTGGGACGGCGGGATACAGCCTACGGTATGGTCCAAGGCAGAGGTTGAAGAGGGACGTCCGTCGATGGACTATAGGTATCACTACGATAGGCGCAAGGCCATCAACACACCATCGCTCGAAGCCTCATACCGAGAATCGTTTAATGCACAGACGGCGGATGGCTATGATGCTGATGAGCTTAACGATGTGGGTACTTGCCTGCTACACAGATGACAACACAACCCAGCAGAGCTGGTTTGATGTTTAGGGCTACCGCTAACGTCTGGATAGTGGTTTTTCGAGCATGCGGCCGCGATTGTGCTCATCACCAAGGCTGCAGTTGCGAAGAACCCCGAGTGGGTTGCGATGGTGACGAAGGCGGAGGGAACCACGATCTAGCAAGTCGGAGGATGTTGGTGGGCGTGGCTACGATGGGCGGTATGAGGGGATAGCACAGGGACGGCAGGACTACCATTGCATATCGGGAGCAGCCAGGGATCTGTCAGATGCACTGGGATACAGAAAAGCTGAGAGCAGGGGCTGAGATGACATCTATTTACCTATACGCTGGGATAGCTAGGTATAATTGGACTTGAGCCCGAAAGAAAGGGTGCCAGCTTGCAAGGGCGAACTAATGAGCCTGTTAAGGTACCATCCCATCCCGCGATTATATCTCCAAGATGATGTACATCAGACCCGCCGCCGGCTATGAGGACTCTGATGAGTTGCACGAAGTAATACATATGTGGCTTCAATATACATATACCGAAGCAGGCCGGTTACTATAGCGACTAGGTTGTTAATACAAGTTGCAGCGGTATGGAAACGTGGAGTGTCTATTGATGGCCTGTGTAGTATGTGGAGGTCACAGGAAGGTGGGTACCATGAGGTAATCTAGTAGTAGGGGTATATTTTTCTTCTCTTCTTCTTTTTCCCTTGTGTTTTTCTCTTCTTTCTTTTTCTCTTTCCCCTCTCTCTCTCTTTTTTTCCGTTTTTTTTTTTTTTCTTTTCCATCTTGTTTAATACTAACGTTGTTTTCCACAGTTTGCTGCCCATAATAGCGCACTCTTTCGACCGCCGAGATTATAACCCCAAAACGGGGAAGCGTCGAGAGGTCCAGGGGGGCTCGCAGAGAAGTAAACCTTCTTATGGCCACCTCTGTGGGACATACAAAGAGCCCCTGGCGCCGGTCGTGAGGGCGCAGCTCCCTGTCCACACTACGGCAAGTAATACTTCCCTTGAATTTCAAGATGCCGAAGCAATCCTACATCAATTATCTCTGCGACTGCTGTAGAATCCAACCCCGCAATAAATCCAATCATAACTAGGGGGATACGGAAGAGAAGACTCTAGAGATAGCAAGCAAGGGAGAAGAAAACGAGCGAGAAAGTGCCAAACCTTCATCCTCATCTAAACCATTTGGATCGCCAGACCGCTGCCTTACTGGCCATACTGCCAGCCCTATCTGGGATAGAGGATATTAGGGGTTACATCACACTGCTGGTTATATTAACCTGCCGGCTAGCCGACGAAAGGTCAGGTTTTAGCTTCCTACTCTTTTCTTTGCTGCTTGTATTCTCCTTTCTGTTTCCCATTCCTTTTTTTTTTTTTTTTTTTTTTTTTTTTTTTTTTTCTGCTGTTTTTTCTTTTCTGTTTTCCTATTTCCCTTTCCTGTTTCGTCCTCCCTCTTCTTTTCTTTCCACAGGTGGACTAGCCATTTTGTGATCAGCACCACCTGCGTCAGCTGTCAAGAAAATATAGACTTACCCGCCTTATAAGATATAGGCCAATCTAATCCAGCATACTACAGACTGCAAAGAAGGTCGGGGTGTACCTGTTGCAGTCATGGTACTGCTAGCCTGAGGTGGTACTGCTAGCCTGAGGGTTTTGTTTGGGAAGAGTCGGGTTAAATTGCCCGTGCAGCCCAGTTATCCCGCCCGTGTGGGGCCTGCCGGCCCGGGGCCGAGTACTCCGCACGCGCCGGGTAATCCAGCTACTTCGTCGCGTGCTTAATTGAAGCCTTCTTCGGGCGTACCCGATTGAAGTACTACGTACGCTGTCATTGAAGTTATCGCTAAGAGCTGTGAGTGAAGGGGATCCGGCCAATTGGATAGCTTCGTTCCAGGGCTAGAGGCCCTACACAGGCAGGATAGCTGGGCTGCCCACGCAATTTAACCTAACTCTTTGAGAAGAGCCTGTGAGGGTGATTCTGCTACGAAGACCCCTAATCATAAGGCCTCTTCTGCCCACAGCACTGCAAATCATATGGTTGGCGTGCCTATTCTATCTCTTGCCTTCTATCCTTCCTTCTTCACTTCACTACCTCCCTTCTCTTGCCTGACCTTTTCTCTTTTCACCTTTCTCTCACCCCCTGTGCTCCTTCCCTACTAGCCACCTACTCCACTTCATCTTCTCACCTTATCACCACTTTCCTCTTTTTTATCCTCCCTCTTCTTCTTTTTTCTTTTTTTTTATTATTGTTTTTTTCTTTCTTTTTTGCTCTTTTCTTTCCCTACTTCTCCACCCACAACAACACCACAACATCACTTTCACCTATTGCACTGCCCTTCACTATCTATTACGTCGTCTACTGGCTTAATCCCAAGCTATTCATACTATCCTCTCTTAGCTTCTATTCAAATCCATCCTTGGGCTCACCTCAGCCGATCTGGCCTAGGCCTTCCTCGAACGCTTTTCTTCTCTTCTTCTTGCTCAAACCAACGCACGCCCTGCCCTGCCGAGACTCCTACCGCAATCGTCATACCAACCGTCTAATCCTGCTTCATAACATCACAACCTAAAGAAAGCCGCAGACCTGAGAGCACTCAGTACACTATTCAGCGGGGAGGAAGGGGCGATCTTGCCTTTTCGGTTTGGTGCCAAGGGATTCCTTCACCTGCTGAGACACCCTGCGGCCTTTCGCCCGAGTCTCGTCAACTTGCTAGGCAATATCCCCCACGGGAGCAGCAGAGAAGAAGCTATCTGAGCATCCTTTGCCAGGCGTTACCAGGACCATCCCCCAACAGGCAACAACAGGCAACAAGGCGTCTTCAGCAGGTGCCTTCCAGCAAACCAACCTCAGGGCTGGGAAGGAAGCCGTAAGAAAAGAAAGCAACAAAGAAGCAACAGAGAAGCAACAGAGAAGCAACAGAGAAGCAATAGGGAAGAAAAAGGGGACATCCTGCCCCTGAGAAGACTGTGATATCTACTAGCACGTGCGACGTTGGTCTCACCCTGGCAGTATTTCGTCCACCAGTCATACTCAAGCTACCTATCTACTGCGGCAATAATAAGGAACAACATAGTGAGTATGGCTTCCACATGGGGACTCATACAGAGCAACTAACGGGCCTAGAGACTCGACGGAAGCACGTGCAGCAGAAGGAGCCCTACGAGCAGGGCGGTGGCAGATCGGGTCACCGTGGCAAGTGAACAACGAGCGGCTTACACGACGAGGCCGAGGCCGAATAGAGGAAAAAGGAAGAAGACAAGATGGGCTTTGCGACGCTACCTCCCGAGCTCGTGTGCATGGTGGCACAAGAGCTCCAGAGCCTCTCCGATGTTAATGCGTTGTTACGGACATCTAAACACAACAGCATGGTGTTGAGGGGACAGATTGTCCGCATGGCGAAGGGCTCGATCCCTGTATTCGCGGCGATACGTATGGGAAACAAAGACCTTCTCGACGTGTCAATCAAGTCAGGTCTCGACCTGCAGGAGGTGTGGGGAGAGGGCCAGCATATCAAGGGTTTCGACCATGAATATGTCGGCTATGACCCCGTTATGCTTGCGAGCGCCCTGGGCCGCCCGCTGATGATGACGATGCTCCTTGACGCCGGCGCCAGGATCCGCGAGGGGGACGTCAGGTGCTATTCCTGCGACGATGGCCCGAAGGAGGCGTTCGAGAACGCCACCAGCGTGGAGGCGGGGGGCAGAAGGCGTCTTTGGCCTCTGCATATGGCTGTTTGTGGTGGCAATCTGGACGCCGTGAAGACCCTGTACGAGGCCGGTGGAGGGGGCCTCCGCCTGGAGACGGAGCTAGCGGGCGTCTCGTCGGGCGAGAGATGGTCGCTCCTCCACGAGCTGGCGAGACACCCACGACACGACATCGTCTACAGGGTCTTGAGGTGGCTACGGGACAAGGGCGACGTCATGGACATGATCAACGGCGGCTCGGCAAGGGGGGGCACGCCACTGGAAGTTGCCGTCAGGCTGGGTCATTTCCGCATGGCGATGATGCTGCTGCGCATCGGCGCAGACCCCCGGCTGGTGTCTTCGGCCCGCCGAGCGAGCGGCAACACAATCGCCACCCTTGCGCTTGAGTCCTGCATGGGGATGGGGACGTATGTGCCGCGGCTGCCGGTGGACGCCGCCAGGGCAGCAACGTGGCTGGTCGACAGGGGCCGTGATATTGACCGCCTGGGCAGACTGGTGACCGAGCTGCAAAGGAAGGGCGTCGACATGGACACGAGGTTCGGCGTGCGCGTCGGCGGGCCGGCCGTATCCGGCACCGTACTCCACTGGGCCGTCAGGATCGGAGACGTCGGGGTTATCGGGCGCCTGGTCGGAGAGGAGGCGGGGGGTGGGAAGGCCCTTGGTGAGGCCGCGGGCCGGGCGGCCGATATCGCGATACTGGACCACAACGGGGAATCGGCGATCGACGTCGCACGCCGCACATCACCCCGCAGAACGGGTTATAATTGGATGCGCGACATATGCTCTGATGACGATGGCCTTGGGTTTGCTGGGACCACGCCGCTGGGTGATCTCGCCTCCCACCACACCCCCCTCCTCGAGAAGGTTTAGGAGGCCGGCAAGAGCGGGGGAAGTGGCGGGCGGCCATGGAAGACGACCGCGCTCGATGGAATCACCATGAGGCTCATCTTCCTGCGGACGCATGAAGGGTTTCGACTCCCCGAGGTGTGTGGTGGGAATGCCTGGGTTTTGGATATGGTCGAGGGGGCTAGGCGAAGGACGCGGCTGCGGCATAACCATCCACGCCAGAGAGACCACAAGCTTGACGTGAACCTCGAGCAGCTTGAGTTGATCACGGTGCCCGTATATCAAAGGTACTCGCCAAAACAGACGCAGGCCGTGGTCCGCGTCCGGGGTTCGATCGGCATGAATAATGCGGTCTATGTCCAGTTTGCGGCAAAAGAAGACCAAGACCGGTTTCTCGCTCTTAGTATCCCTTTCTGCGGCGTAGAGCGACTGGATCCGTGAGTTGTCACCATTCCCCCCCCCCCCCCCCTCCCCCCCCTCCTCTTCTTTTCTAACAAGGCTAACGGAAACATTAACACCTACAGAAAGCAATTCCGCAGGCAGTGGCTGCCGGGAGTGTGATAATATCAATTACTACAACTTGCGGAAGGTAATAGCGGGGGGCAATATGCGGACTG